ATGTAGACATGTGAGAGTGTCTATACCGCCTTTTCAACTTCTCTCTCTCTCTCTCTCTCTCTCTTTTGTCCATTCATCAGTCAGTCTGTCTTTCTGCCTCTGCCGCTTTCTATTTAGTTCTATCTATCTATCAATCTATCAATCTATCTGTCTATCCATCCATCCATCTATCTATCTATCTCTCTCCCTCTATCAATATATCTACCATGTCTCTCTGTTCGTCCACTCCTCTGCCGACCTTCTCAACTCGACGATCTCGTCAAGTCTTGACCTGTAATTAAGCGAAGTTTACAGGATATCTACTAGCCGTGCATGCCCAATTTGAACAGTCACGCTTGTTCTTTTCGCCTTTCTCTCAGGTTTTCTTTTTGCACGATTTTTCTGCTGTTGTTTTGCTTTTTACGCAGACTTACAAATTACGCACTAATTAAGCGGCTTCTGCTGCGGCCTCGACCATTTTTCAAAGTCGTTCGTTCACTCAAGGCTCAAGGACCTGAAGGACAAACACAAATACAAACAGAACACACACACACACAATGGCTCAGACTTTGGGTCAGCGCGGCTTTGGCTTATGCTGATCAGAGCTTGCAGCTTGGCCCACATTAGGCGACAAAAGTTAATGTGCATAATTAATTTGCTTTTGCACTTTGTCGAGGCTTCATTTTGTTTTATTTATTTCTTCTTCTTCCTTTTCTTCCTTCTTGCTGTCGCTGCTGCTGCGGTTCGAGCATAAATCACATTGAAGTGAGCTGTCAACGGTATTCAAATAGCTGCTCTTTGTCCAAGCCAAAAAAAAAAAAAAAAAAAATGAGCTGCAGAGGTAATTGGGAAAGACAGAATGAGAGAGAAAGAGAGAGAGAGAGAGATAGAGAGAGAGGGGCGGCTGGGGGCGTGGTTTGGCAATTAAGCTACCAAGTTTGTGCCAAGTTTGTGCGCGCACATGAAGTCACGATAAAAGCCACAGCTGCTGGCAGCCGGCTACGAATTCATCATACGCACTGTGTAACATTTTTAATTGGCTGTGAAATTAAATTTTAGCCCACGCACACCTGTACACCGCTACAGCAGTACATCTGTACGCCGCTGTACAGCATCAGTGGTTAGCAGAGACGGCGTGCATGGCCACACACTAAGTTAGGCTGGTAAATTCAATTCGTGCACAATAAACAGCTTCATTTGCTGAATTTACTACGAGATAATTGAATAGCTGCCGTCGCAACGCGACCTCAGACTGAAATAATAAAACAAGCAGCTGAAAGACGCTCACACACACACACACACACAGACACACACACATAGGTAGACAGTCAGTCGGCTCAGTCTCTTCACATGGTTCGTCTAGCATGCAAATACCAAATTCAATAAACTCAATGCCAGGCAACAAATAGACCAAATTATTGCCAAACAAACAGCCAGAACTCCACTCGAGCCACTTAGGGCTAAAACCAACAAAAAAAAAAAATAAAAAAAAAAATATTCCAATGCGAATGTGTTTCCCATTCGCATTTGCCAAGTAAATTGAACGACAAAAGTGCGTGCAATTGGCAAAGCATATTGCGAGCCCAAGTTCCATTTGCCCAGCGATAGGTTTTCTGCTTCTTCCTTTTTTTTTTTTTTTTTTTTTTTTTGGCTAGAAGTTCAGGGGGTCGTATGCGTGATGTGAGCACATTTAGCCGGCAATGCCAAGGACAGGCAACAGGAGACAGGAGCGGCACACGTACAAAGTAACGGTAACTGTAAATATAACTGTAGCCGTAACTGTAACTGTAACTGCTGCCATTGAGCCAGCCTGTGTGATGGCATTTTTAGTCAAATGCGTTCTGAAAATTTTTGAAGACAGTCGACAAAAGGCAACAATCAAATATTTTTCGATTATTATTATTATTGTTGCTATTACGATTAGTATGAGCAAATGCGATAAAGTTAGCTGGAATTTATTTGAAAATTGTTTAGCTTAATGAGACTCGAGCTCAATAACTCCTCAAATTCCGTCCTCAAGCTCAACCGTTGATTGTTAATTGGCCTATTCTCATCTTACATTATATTATCTTACTATTTTTTGTTGCAATTATTATTTTGTATTAATCTTATTATGTATTATATTTGATAAAATTGGTTAAAATTTATTATACATTTTTTAGGTCGATCTGAGATCAAATTTACAGTCTAAATATTTGGAGAGGCAAAATGGAGCCCTTGAGAAATCTAAATTCGATTTTAGTTAATTCACCTATTCTCATCTTATATTACATTAAATTAACGTAAAATACATATATTATATTATCCTAAAAAAACAATAATTTTTTTAAATAAATTTAGTCAAACTTACTTGTTAACAGTTCATCACAGATATTTCCCAAAGCAAAGTACTCCAGCAGCTCCTTCCGCTCTTAACAGAATATCTACAATATAAAGAATGCAAATTTAAATTAAAATTAAATTGCTCTAAATAAAAAACAAAACAATTATTTAAATTCGGACTCTAAAAAGCCTAAGGACTAAAAATGAATTCCTCAATAAACGACTGTTTTTTTTTTTTTTTTTCTCTTCTTTTCATTTTTGTATAAACTGAAATATATATCGGCCGAGTTTTAGCAGTCGTCATTTGTTTTTGTTTTCGCTTCGCCTTTTGTTTAACAAACGTCTTTGCACTTGGGTGTCTTTGGACGCAGGCCTATTAATAAATACGCCAACTGGGAGTTAACGCTTAAAGTCAGCTGACCAAAAAGTTTTTTTTAGCTGAATTGCGGCGCATTTGTCAGGCGACGATGTTAAGCAAATGGAGAGAGCTTGACGCTGTTTAAGCGCTGTCAAGGGATTGCAGGCTACCAAAAGAAAAATAACAACTTGTATTTTGTTAAAAGCGAAGGACTTTGATTTGGCAAAGGCATACATATAGATACAGATATATGTATATAAACTTATATATACAGATGTTCGTATATAAAGCAAAGTTTTTTGCAACGTTCATTTAGCTGCAACCAGTTGGCCTTGTTTGCTGCAGTTCATAAATAATTTAAATAATTTACACGCTCACTTAAACGTTTGCTGGCACTGCCACTGTGTGGGTGCGTTTGTCTGTGCGTGGGTGTGCGTGGGTGTGGGTGTGTGTGTGTGTGTGCATGTGTTGTGCATACCACATTATGTGGTTCATTGGTTTGTGCCACACGCCGCGTTGCATAGCAATCAACTAGGACCGAGTTGATGCTGCTTTTATAGTTAATTAAAGTGAACTCAGCTAAACTTTTTGCTGCTCACAAACACACACACATACACATCATATACTCAACACACACACACATACACTCGCTGCTGACTGTTGTTGGTCGCTGTGGTTTTGCATTTTCATATCAGGCTTAAATATTTTACAACGATTTTTAGCTGTCGCCTCGCTCCTGTTGTGGTTGTTATTGTTGTCAGCAAAGCTGCTGCACTCTGCAACACCATATTCTCTGTCGCCCCGGCTGCCCCTTCGCTCACCCTCTCCCTCTCTCCCTCTCTCTATTTATATGCATATTAAGCACCCTTGTCCAAGCTTTCTATGCACATATGTGAGCAGCCTGTAAACCATTCTCAATAACTAAGTTGTTTTTTTTTTTTTTTTTTTTTGTCTGTCCAGTTAAAGCTCGCAGCTCAGCTGCCCGTCAAGAGCTTCGAATGCATTTAATAATTTATTGAAAACTAATCTATATACATATATTTCACATTGCATATGCATAAAACTTGACCACATGTGGCTTACAACAGCTAAAACTTTAGCTGATAAGCTTACGGTTTTTGTTTGGCTAAACTTTTAGTTACTTTTTAGTGCGTTTCATACTTGAGATTACAAGTGGGGATTTTTTTTAGAATTGCCATGCGTGATAGTATGTGTCTGCATATATGTGTATACTTATAAATAATGTGCATACACAGCTACAATGCATGTTATAATTTCATAAAAAGTAAGCAGATTAAATATATATTAACTCGATTCTATCATAAGCTGAATTTTTGTAAACTATTCTGGCTTAGCATTGCCATGCTTCCAGATACTCATTCATATGATAAAAAGAGCGTATTAGCTTTGATTATGTTTATATTCCAAAGTATTCAAATATACGGGCAAATATATTTATATCAACAAATATACGGGCAAATATATTTATATTTCATGTTAAACATAAATATGTATTCTTTATATACAAAAAATTGTATACATACTACAACCTCTTCACTCTTCTAACTCACAGCCAACAATTACCTGTTCAGCTCTCCTGAACTCTAAACAATTTCAATTGTACATTGTGCATTCGCATGTCCAAATTAATTATTGCCATCCACTCTATACTCTATAATATATGGATGACAAATGCAACAAACAAGTTGCCTTTCGGTTGATTCGAATCTCACATTCGAGTATTTCTGCTGACACGCAAAACAAGTTGCAATCAAACCACCAAATCATCGACTAATAAATGCCCTAAATGGCTGCTCAAACAAGCTATAAAGAGAGCAAATGCCAGATAAGAGCATTTCGGGTGTGTCTTTATACAGGGTATATTTATAGATAATCACTGATATCATGAGACATCAAGAGCGCGTCTACACTTTAAACAGTCTCTTTTTGGCACCTTTGTATACGCTAACAAAGAGCATATACGAATGATGTAGTAAGATAAATGTTTGTTATAAATAAATATGAATAAATATAAAATAAATATATATAAAGAAATATAATCTATATATATATATATATATATATAAAATATATAAAATTGAGTTAGATAAATATTAAATAAAAATGATCAATTAAATATAATAAATTTGTATTTACTATAAAATTTACAGGAAGAGTATTTAGCATTCGTCTTATAATAGTTGGCGTTTCTGTTAAGCATTTAATTAAGTTCCACATTTGAGTCTCTTGTCTCTCTCTCTCTCTCTCTCTCTCTCTCTCTCTTTGCTCCTGTCTCTCTCTACGTCAGCTGCTATTGCAGAGCATTATCTAGTCCAGTCTCCGCTGAACCCTCCGGCCGGTCGAAAGTTCTTGAGCGTTCGAATGGTTAGCGTTAAAGCCGAAAGCCGGTTGTCGGGGTTGATAAGACTAACAGACTGTGACTAGCATAAGTCTTCAATACTAATGAATTGAATGATGGCATTTGTGTATATCTTCTATTATTTGTTTATATTTCATTCGATATTTATAGCACTTAAGAAAATTTATTGTTTGCATTTTGAATGGGTTCCACAGTGTGCGTCATTCAATCTCCCTTAGCTGGCCAGCTGTTTATCTCTCTCTCTCTCTCTCTCTAGCACTACCTCACTCTCAATCTACCCTGTAAAGGCTATTGCAGTCAGCTGATAGCCTAGACTGTTATCACTATATCTCAACGGGTAATTGTCAAGAATTGGATGTCGGGTCTGCAGCTTTTCGTTATATTTGGTCGTGAGGCTTACTTTATTATTATATTATTTATATTCATAATAACTAACTTTGATTATCATAATATAATTCATTCGCTGATGGATCGTAAGTTGAATTTTTTTTTCCACTAAACCACAGATTAATTTAATGTTTTTATCATTAACAGTAATGGCTAATGGCAAAGAACAAGGTGAAGCAAACTGCAGTAAAAGCCCAAATCTCTATCTAAATACACCTACAAGCGTATTCATACCCAACGCATCTGAACTAACTACCTCGAATTCTGCTGAAGATCATGCCAAATCATTAAATATGAAACTCAAGAAATAAATTATCTACAAAGTCATTTCCTCTCTCTACTCGAAGACCAAAGATTTGCGCTTTTAATTTATAAACAACTCAAACCAAAATTTGATTTCGGTAGTCTAGCGTACAAGACTACGCTATGCCTTAACTAAACAAAAATCAATTCAGAAAATTTAGGAATGTTATGTGAAATGTATATGCAATAATAAATAAATAAATAAACAAAATTTTAAATTTGAATTGTGCTAATTTTTAGTCCATGTCATTATCACCTTACTTATTTACTGACGAATTTTATTTGCTTCATTAAATTTTTACTCTATGTACTCAGCTATGTGATAATCAAATTTGTTATTTTATTGATACAACAATTATTTTTATATTTTTTGCCAAGAGTATAGATATAGATATAGATATATATAGATATATATAGATATATTGATATATTTTGTTTCCTGTTTGTATGTCTAAATGTATATGTAAATGTTATTTTTAGTTATTGAGAACATACATAGGTTATAAAAAATTTTGAATGGAGTCCACAATATTCATGCTCATCTCGCTGTCCACCCCTAATAAGTGGGCGCCAGTATCCATTGAAATCCCTTTCTAAGCACGTCGTCTTGCTGCTCAATTGGAATTTTCTTGAAAAATGTCTATCAACATAAATAATCCCAAGAAATTGGGAATCAGCGTAGCTGGATTAAATATATTCTTTACAATGATTGCATTGGGCATTATGATGCGACGATCGGATGTATTAGATGATAGACGTAAGTGAATAATAATGTCAATTTATAAATATATTCATATCTATATATATATATGATGATATCTTCTATAGCGGACGCGCCATCGTATTGGCCATGGATTGTGGTGTACAGCCTCGACTTGTTGCTCAATGCATATCTCTTGTGGTGCATGCTGAAGAGAGATCGCGCCGGCATCGCCGTGTGGTTGCCTCTTACAATTATTTTACTCATTTGTCGAGTGTGTAGCGATGCGACCTATGGATTTCTAGACCTAATTATTACAGGTAATATAGTTATTTTACAGTTATATACAGTTAGTTATATACAGTTCTTATAAATCTATTCCGCTCCCGCCCAAACCAGTTTACATATTCACCTCAATTATACTTATGGCAATCGTTTACTATAAACTACGACAACAATCATTGACGATAATTGAACCAACACTGCACACAGTTGTCACAACTAAAACAACTACAGAAACAATTATCCAGCCCAACACAGATGAGAGTAAAAAAGATTCTGAAGGCGACGATAATACTAAGTAAAGCAGCATATGGCAAATATTTTAGTGAATATATAAATATACTAAAGAAAATTTACAAAAAGCAAGAATCAAGCATTTATTTAAAAAAAAAATATATATATATTTATGTTTGTATAATGAACAAAACAAAACATCTACAGAGTCATAAACCTTTAAGCTCTGATGTTTACATATCAATAAAGTAAAATTAGTAAACAAAGTATTTCAATTGTCGAATCAGCTGTACATTAAAAATATATATATATATATTATAATTGGGATCAACGGTAAAAGCTGTCAAACTGCCATGAATTTTAGCCTTTCTTTTACATTTCTGATAGCCAGTGCATAACTTTCGATTTCAACTCTATTGATAACAATTATTATTAGTCTATGAGTGATTGTTGTTATAATAATAACAGCACAGTTGGTAGCACCAGCATAGAGATAACGATTGAGTAGAGAAGGCGGAAAAGAGCAGAAGGCAATGTTTGTAGAGGCGGCTGCTATGATTCGAGCATAAAGTGGAACATAAATGTGAATACTCAAGTAAACGAACTCACAGACGAAAGAAAATGCTTTAAGTTAAAAAGCTCATATAGACCTTTAGATACTCTTTAAAAGGTCTAATATAATATGTAATAATTATAATATGATCTTAAATATGTATATCAGAAAATTTAGAGTCTAAACTCAAAAATTATAATTTATGAATAATTTTGAAATGAACAATTTTGACTTCTTTTATTTATTATTTTATTTTTTATTATTTATTGAGTGGCACACGCTTCTTGACTTGCCTACACTTGATTTGTGATTTTTAATGTGAATAGAATCCACAACACGTGCCAAACACTCTCTCCCTTGCGCTCAAATGCACGCTCTCTTACTCACTCTCGCTCTTTCTCTCTCTCTCTCACGCTTGACTGACCATCGAATACATTTGGCAGTCGACGCTGAACTTTCGTTCCGGCTGAACGTTCTGAGACTTGGGCCAAGTTTTATATGAAGGCGGCATTGATAAGAATTATGAAATGTATGGAATAGATGGAATATGGAACAACACATAATAGCAAGCGATATGCAATGAATGAATATATGTATATGTGTCTGCATATGGCCAGATAAAATGAAATCTATAATATAAGTATAATATAAGTATTATGTATGTATAAATTTAAATATAACGGCAATTTAATCAACTTTAATATTTATATATGTTTATGTAGATATTATAAATTATAATATAAATAAATGTTTTTAATAATTATATAAAAATGATATTGGAAATAACTCTTAATAATTATAACTATAAATAATAAAAAAAATTAATATATTTTTAACATAAACAAATTTTTTAGATATATCATAAATTTATATATGATATACAAAATTATATTATTTTTATTTTATTTATAATTATCTAGAATTTGTTCAATCCAATTTTTTTTTTTAGTTTAAAATATATACATAAACATGCATTAAATATTGCCAACAATTTAAATAGGTTCCACAGCGCTCTCTCGTTCTCTATTGCACTCTTATCGAACTAAGGCTACAATTAGACAGTCTACGCTGAATGCTAAATGTGGGCGCGTTGTATTAACCTTGGCCAGCATTTGATTATAGCCAACAAATAAATAAATATAAATAATATGAAATGTACGCTAGAAATGGCTGAGGCCAAGGTAAGGGAAGCTTTAATATTACAGCCATGAAAGCCATGAAAACTATATTAGCATTAGGTTTATTAAGTAGTAAGTTATTAAGTAGCATTAAGTTTTTGAGTAAATATAAATTTATAAGTATATACACATATACAGCAGCGAACATATACATATACAGATCCAATGAATCATGAATTTATGCCAACTATTGATTCCTCTGATTTCCAATGCTAAACTTTCGATTTCATCGCCATTGATAACAGTGATAAGCCGATAACAATTGCTGTGATATGACTGATACAATCGTTATCTACGTGAATGGAGGTAGCACTGTAGATAACGATTGTAGCCCAGGTGGAATGAACATCGAGGGTGAAGGAGCTCGACTGCTCCTCAATGATTGTGAAGACAGTCGTAATGATTCGAGCATAAAGTGGAACATAAAATTGAAGAGTCAAATACACTAACCTGAATCACCAACGACAAGACAATGAAACATTTATGATAACGCTTACAATTTCATAATGAAACGAAAATATTTCAGTGACTATATAGACTGTAAAATACCCTCTAAGACACTAAATCCAACATTTGATGAATTTTACGAGTAATATGAATATAATATGAATAAATTAATCATAAATCAGAAATTAGTATATTTCTGATATGTAATTATATTTAAAAAATATATATATATTTTATATTGTTATATATATTGGTTCAATAATATTTTTTTATAATATAAAATAATTACTATACATATATATATATATATTTTTTTTTTTTTTACTTGTTTGAAATGTTTATAATTATATCAATAGTTTTTATTATTTTTAATATTATTATAATTTTTATTATTATTCTAATTTTTTATTATTATTATTTTTTATCACTCTCATGATTTCTTTTTAATATATTTTGCTTTGCATAGAGCATACACACGTCGGCATGCTTTAGCTTTGGCTCTTTGACTGTGCCGTACAGCATGTTTGGTGTTTGCCATGCGAATGGATTCCACAGCACGTGCTCGCCGCTCTCTTTAGCCGCTCTCTTGCTCTTTGCATCATGTTCTCACGTGAATGCTGGCTCTCCTGTACTCTCGCTCTCTCTCTCTCTCTCGCACGGCTGACCAAACAAGACGTACGCCAGTCTACGCTGAACCCTCGTTCTGGGCGAGCGGTCTCGGGTTCGGATTCGCGTTTGTTTATGTCATAAGAGCGAAATAATTCGCTCACACTTTATACACACACACACTCTCATACACACACACTCACACATACACCGAAATACATACATATACATGTACATATACACTGCCGCCAGCCAAGATGAGCAAATATTTGGACTTGGGCCTTGGCATTACAATAATCAATGTCTACTATTCGCTATCATATTTTCTAATGTGGTGCGTGGCACTGCAAAAAGCAAGCGACAATGGTAAGCTACATATAGGTATAGCCATATATATTTATATAGATACATATATAAAGCCAAGCAATATATATAATCGATTCTAATTGATTGATATACACACATACATACATATATAATTAAATGACAGCTGTGTTTGTGTTGCGTGTTTCGGTTACTGTTTCTGTTTTTTTTTTGTTTTTGTTTTTGTTTTCGTTTCTGTTTCTCATTTATAGACAGTGAGCCGATTGTTTGGCAAGCCGTTTACATGGGCAACGTGTTTCTCAATGTATTTCTCTTCTTGGGACTGCGCAAGAGAGATCGCTGGTCGGTCATCATTTGGTACTCTTTGACGTTGGCGTGGTTTGTGCCCAAGCTATATGGACATATACGGGGTTGTCATCTGGACGCGCGCGGTTCAACGTACCGTACTATCAATCTGATAATGGAAAGTGAGTGAGGGTTGCCGACTATTGTATACTCTAACTCTAACTAAGCGAATAACTCACCGTCTCTTTCTCTCTCTCTCTCTCTCTCTCTCTATCTCTCTCTCTCTTTAGCCTATGTGATTCTATCTTTTGCTGTTATGGCTTTGGTTTATGTGCATTTGCCCAAAGAGTTGCCTTTAACAAAAAATAAACGCCGCAGATATAGCTCAAACGGACATGTTCAGGATGTACAAATGCTGGAATTGAACTTAAATGGGGATGCCAAAGCGCCCGCTTTGGCACCCTTAGCAACTGCCGAAGTGGATGACGACCTGGATGAATGCCTGCCAAGCAGCAGCAACGGCCACAGCAACAGCAACAATAATAGAGGCATGCAACAAGTTAGCAGCATTGAATTTCATCAAGCTGATGATGCGGAACTGGATAAAGATTAGCATACTGTACAAATTTCTATATGTGTATGTATGTGTATATATGTACATATATTTATTTATATATATCTATGCATATATGCGTATATCTTATATACATATATCTGTAACATTCCTGCACAATTTCAAGTGTTTGTCACAAATTTCTGATTCGTTCCACTTATGCTTAGACTACAGACTTTATACACATACACACACACACACACCAACATATGTATACATATACTTCTAGACATATACTTATACATATTATGTACTCTCAGTTGTTAAGTTTTTTAGATTAGTATACATACTAGCTGTAATGGGAGGAGAGACAATAATAATACAACAACAAAATCATGTAATACTACTCTCGTTGAGAGTGCTTGACTAATAAATACCCTGTACAATGCACACAACTGTGGTTTCAATTTCTTACGGGTTTTCTTCTATGTACACAGACATCTAAATAATTGAAGCATATAAATTTCATGTATCAAGTCACTATACCTTATACTTTACGAGTTCATTGAGGTATAACTGATTTGAAATCAGTCAGGCGCATAGAAACTTAGGGAGATGTACTAATACCAACTCAACTTGTCTTTTACTAGTTAATATACATATATTTTAAGATATCCACCACGCTCAATGTCTGCATGTTACATACATTATCACAAAAACATTATACCCCCTTTGTATTAGAGGGTATTTAATCTACTCCCAAACTTATCATTGCAAACAAAAAATTAACCAAAACCAAAGCAGCCAAACAGCTAAATGAAGCTGAGTTCGACTAACTTTTTGGTAACAGCTTTCACAGTTTACTATTTCTTTTTTTTTTTATTCAGTTCCTCTGTTTACGTTAGCCTGGTCACCGCGCATTGCTGCTGTTTATATTGGCCAAGTGTACAACATTGGGCGAAATTGGTCGATTGAGTGTGTCAATAAATTCCTGCCAGTCGCCCAAGTGCAACACATTTGTCCGGCCATCAGCGATAAATAGTTGGCACGCCCCCCTCCCTACCCGCCGCACATGGCTCGGCACTCCTTTCGGCCAATCTGTCTGGTCGACTCTCTGGAGCTTTTGTTGGCCAAAAAGTTTCGTGTGAATTTAGTGCGGCTCATTAAGCTGACCGTTCACGTTGTACGTCCTGTATTTGAGCCCAAGTCCAGAGCGTCACTCATTCACTCATGTGTGTAGTGGCTGTGTGTGTGTGTGTGTGTGTGTGTGTGTGTGTGTGTGTGTCTGTAGCAATGGCTTTTCGTTACCAACTTCATTACGTGCCAATGATGAGCAGGAAATTGTTTGCGCCATTGTCATTCGCAATGTCATTCGGGCAAATGGAGAGCGAGTGCGAGCAAACATTTCATCCATTTTGCCATTTGTCAAACTTTCCTTATTTATATACGCACATATATTTATATATATGTATATATATTTGTTGTGCTTTAAATGGACGCGCTCTGCTCTCATTAAGTAAATTAATGCTGGGTATATATTCATTAAAAGTGTCAAAGTGCGCACATTAAAATATCATCTAAGACGACAGCCAAAAGCCGGTGAAGCCCAACTTTTTATACCTTGCAAGACATTGAAAATACGTAGAGAGGGTATATAGGTATTTATGTAAGATGTGATAAAAATAAATAATTCCATACGGAAGATATAGAATATCGCTGGGCAAAGTGTAAAAGAAATGTTCCCAAATTTCTTACGTTTTCTTTGTTAGGTCAATTTACTTCTAGAGCCGCCCGGGAATATAAATTAATCTGGCTAAAGAGCCGAGTCCATGTGACTCTGTCCATCTACATCATTGTCTGCATAATTGTCTCTCTGTTTCTCTCTCTCGTCTGGTCTGCCTATTAATAAATTCGCTCGCCAGCCTATCAGAATCTGCATCTGCTCTCTGTCTTTGTGTTTATTTCTGCATAGCCTGCATATCTCAAGAGCTCGATTCAACAAATTTTAATATATATATCGATATATCTATAGTAAACATAGATATCTTGCCAACAGTCCCCAGGCAATCTGTTTATATAGAAGCCCATAATTAATAAATAAAAATAAAATATTAAATATAATTAATTTCAAAAAAATAATAATAATAATAAAAATTTTAAAAATAAATAAAAATAAAAATAATAAAATATTTCATATAATTAATAAAAAAAAAAAAAGAATATTAATAATAACAATAAAAATTAAAAAAAAAAATCAAATTTGTGCAACAGCATTTTTAATTTTTATTGTTATTATTATTATTTTTTGTTTGTATTAATTAAATTAAATATTTTATATATTAATTTTTTTTAATTTTTATTATTATTAATATTAGTTATATTGGAGGTTTAAATATTTTTAGGCAACATTTGTTTTTGTTTTTTGATACTGGGTATCTGCTAGTCGATCACTGCCATGTCAAGCATTTCTGCGTGTTCTGTGCCTTGGATTTTAAGGCTTCGACTTTGTCGCGTCTCGATTTTTATGCACAAAACAAACATTAAAGACGCATAAAATGTTGACGCAGCGCAGCTTTGTTTGCTGCTGTTGCTGCTCATAAAAGGAATGACACACACAGACACACACACACACACAGACAACACGCACACACACATTATTAGTGTGTCTTCTGGCAACTCATAAAACTAAACCGCAATTCATCAGTAAATTCCTTCAATTTTTGTTTTTAGCATCTACTCGATAGCAATCGTTGTTGTTGTTGTTGTTATTCTACATATGCGCTGTTATTTCTAGCTGCTTGCTGTTGCTGTTGTTTGTTGTTATAACTGCAAATAATTTAGTGCGCTGCCTGAAAATATGCTAGAGTTTTATGTGGTCATAAAATGCCAAAAATTGTTTTTATTATATGTAATTATTATGTTATGCATGCCTCCCACTATCGCCCGTCGCCCCCCAACACACCGCCTCATCGGGCCAAGTCTTTATCCAGTTTATTGCCTTTGGCATAAAGTTCACTGTGAAATGAACTGTTGATGCGAGCATCAAAAATTTCGTATATCTTTCTATATGTACATTTAGTTTTAGCCCCTAACACGTTCCGCTCTTAACTCTTGGTCGATTGTCAGTTTTTTGGCCATTTGTGTAAGCCAAATTATGAAACATTTTACGCTGAACTTTTAGCCATTCGAAACAATGACAAAAAGTCAACAAACTTTTGCTTCGATTGCCCCTTCGCCCAACAGTAGCTGCAGCAGCAACATAAAATGCAGCACGTTTGCTGCTGCAGTTGAGGGTCGATTCGACTCGACTCGACTCGACTTTATGTCACGCATTGTAAATGGCAAAAGCTTTCTCCATCTTAATGCTCCACAACATACACATACACAGACACACAGTCACACTATCTGTGTTACTTTTGAACTGCAACGCGTTACGTGCTGCGAGAATTTTTGTCAGCTGCAACTGCAACTGCTGCTGCAATTATTACTCCTGCTTCTGCTGCTGGTGCTGCTGCTGGTGCTGCTGCTGCTATTGCATTAACTTTAACTTGCTAGCTCATTAGGATGATGTGCAGTTAGTGCAGTTATTAAGCGCATAGCTTCTAGATAATATAAAAAATAACAGCGCTTGAAATAGAATCGCAGCTTGCATAAAAAGCTCTATATAATATTAAATAGTTGCTCTGCAGTAGGGGAAGGATATTCCTTTGTATGTTAGCAGGATTTAATTTTTTATTGAAGCTCTGCTTCAGTTAATTAATAGAAAAATTTAATGCTTAAAAAAGAAAAGAGAAAAGCTTAAGGTGCAAACAAAAAAATACTTAAATAATATAATAAAAAATAATAAAAATTAAAAAAAAAAAAATTTTAATTTCTTTTCTAATGTATATATTGAGGCAACAAAAGTTCCATATGTTTATTCTCAAGAAAATTCATTAATCAGTTTATCATTAGCATAATCTCCAGCTATATATCTATTTATTGCTCTACCTTCTCTACTTGAATTTATATCTCTATCTCTTTCTCAACACTGTTTCGTACCTGTATCTCCATTAGAATCTTCATCACACTCTCTCCATTTGCGTCCATCCCCTCTCTGACCATTTCTTTTCTGCTTTTTATAAGCTAACAGAACATCCATCAATTTGTAATATATATTTACTTCCAATTTAAACTCTTCACATTGCCCGCATTTTATTTAAAATAAATTTCCAATCTATATAAAATTCAATTGAAAATCACATAAAAAGAAGCAAAAGAAAATAACTTTAAATCGCAAATGCAACAAAATCTTTTTGTTTATAGCCCAATACGAAGAGTTTCTCTCTAAAACAAAGTAAACAACGGAATTGCTAATACTCTATCTGCCTCTTTAGCTCTCTCTCTCTCACACTGCTCCCACACTTTGACTGTATTTACAGCCACTGAAATTCATTCTATGCCTTCGCTTTTCATTAGCCATTCAAAGAAATAAACTTAAATCAGTGCCACGCGTCGTATGCGTAATGTGAGGCAGGACTTGCCAAGTTCTTTGCCCCACGAACAATTGGAACAATCAAAGTTTTATTGTTGTGCAAATATTGAATAAGGAAATGTTAAAGTGCCAACGCCCTCAAGTGGGCGTGACCCCACATAAGCCACAAAGGCGACAGCGGCAGACTCGAAACTTAAAAGACAATCACACAAAAGCCAGCACAAAGCATAAAAAGAAGTTAGCCCAAGAGTGGAGCGAAGGACTATTCGGTGTGTGGGAGAGGGGGGCGTGGCCTGGTGCTGACCAGAGCAGCAAATGAATGGACGGCGTAATAATTGCAGACGCCGGGACGCGTCCAAAATGTCACGTACTGGCAATAAACCGCTGCTAATTTACGATGGACCCCAATAACAAAGCTCGCTCGCTCGTCCAGCTCAAAACGGAAATCAAATGGCAAACGAAGCGCAGGCCTCTCTGTCTAAGCAGCCGGGCCACTTGGCCACTTGGCCACTTTGCTGCTTGGCCCGGCCAATATGCCAGAGCTAGAGCCAGAGCTGGAGCAGCAGTTGATGCCCAATAATGTTGCATAGAGTGGCCTGGTAGAAGCTGGAAGTCGTTGCGCCTTGTGGCACGTTACGGCGACTGCATAGAAATGGCCTTCAAAAACGAAACGCAAATATCGAAAATGGCAATAAGGGCCAACGCATAGTAGACTTGGCTTAATGCGCATTGGATGAAAGACGCATAAAAAATACTATAGAAAAGGGATGAAAATAAGCCAAGAGAGTGCGGCAACGACTCAGCACACTTGACGGGGTGATACGCTATGCATAGAGTTATAGTGGTTATACTTAAATATGAGGTACACATGTTAAGATCTACTAAATGCATTTGCTGATATTATTTTGATATGGTTTTTTAGAGGAGCCTAAAGCATTTATGACTACTTGATCTACTAGTTCCTAACTATGATTTA